CGCAGACAATCGGCGCGGCAGTAAAGTGTGATGTTTGCTTGTTTACTAGTTTCCTTTGGATTGTAGGAGTTTCTACCTCTCTGTTCGGTTTTTGTTTTAGTTTTTTACCATGTGAGGTGTGTTTTGTTATGCCTACCTTTCTGGGTGCCTAACCCCGGTCAATGGCAGATAAGGAAAACCCCAACCACAAGGGGTTTTTCCAGGGCCATTGCTCCCTGAAACCTCTCTGAAGGGGCCAGATTCTGGCACTGGTCCCTGGTAGGTCTGAACTCCTTAGCTAATGTCCCGGTCTAATATAACATACATTAGCCCGATAAGCTCCAGGGAGCCTCCGGGGCTCACCCAGAAAATGGTGTTTCATTACATTCAACGCTGGTTTTTTGGCTCTGATTAGTTCTTGTTTGGTAAAGGGACAGTCACATTCGTCATTTATAGCTATTCTCTCATGAATAGCTGTCAACCTCTCTTGTTTTAACTGTTCTTGCTGCCTTCTGACCATTGCAGGAAGCTGATATGAAGCTGTTATTTCTGCAAATTGGGAGCAAGTCTCTCAGCCTTCTGCAATGGTTGAATACATGCCTGTGGTCGGGCTGGTCGACCTGATATAGTTTTAATCTGACCCACTCAAACCATCTTGCCTCCTTTACCTCTCTAGAAACTCGTCTTGCTTCAGATATCACTGCTCTTAGCAGAGTTCTTCCTTCTGGTGTGGGGGTTTCTCCTTAGATGTTTTCTGAAGATGTTGACTCTGTGGTTTTGTTCTTTAACTTCATTACTATAGAACCAATAGTTCTTTCGTTTTGTGTTTCCTGGGATAATGATTGGAATAGCTTTGTTTTCAGGAGCTACAATGGCTTCCTGCAGATTGGTCTCATGTATGTTCATATCCTCAGGTGGTGTGTATGTTGCATACCATTTTTCAAGTTCCTCTTGGCATATATTCCAATTGACCTTTTTAAAATTCCACCTAGGTTGTGCAGGTGATGTAGGAGGTCGTTCCATGTTTAGTGTTGTGACAGTAGTATAGTGGTCACTGGTGATCACCGGGTCTACTTCCTACTTCGCCTGCTGTTTGAGTGCTGTTGAGATTAATGTAAGATCAACGGAACCTCCTAAAATGTGAGTGGTTTCCCCAGTGTTGAGAAGTGTAATTTCAGGTACTTCTTGCAGAGCTGCAGCTAAATGGCGCCCATCTGCATTGGCTGGCCCAGTCGCACCTAACTCTTGAAGATGAGCATTAAAATCCCCAGCAATAATTACATTTTCCTGTATGGCCAAGGCAAGCACTGCCTCTGCTTCTAGTTTATGTCTAGGGGGCTTGTAAACATTGTATATGAGGAGCTCAATATTAGTCATATTCACTGTTACTGCTAATACCTCTACTCCATCCCCACATGAAAATGGGTCTATTTTTTGCTGGGTATGGTGTTTCTGACTAAGGTCATTAACCCTCTTTGTCTTCCCTGCTCATACGGTATAACATAGTGCTGATATTCAGCTAATCTGAAGGATTTTGTGGCTGGGAAAAAGAGTTTTTTCCAAAACGATTATATCTGCTTTCATGCTGATTGCAGCCTCTTGAAGAGTGTGGTTTGTATTTCCAAGACCTTGTATGTTCCACTGCAGTATTCGTAATGGCCAGACGACGGTTTCAGTTGGTGTTGCCTGTTCTACTAGAACTCCTCTTCAGAATCGACCTCTATATTCTCCACCTCGCAAGTCGTGTTGCTGCAAAATGGACTGCACTGATTGCTCGTGGTCATCCCCCTGCATTGTTGGAATCTGTGCATAAGTGTGGTCCATCGCTTTGTTGTTGGTATTGCTGCATATCGGACTGCATTGATTGCTCGTGACCGTTTCTTGTGTTGTTGGAATCTGTGCATCTCTCCCATCCAGTATTTCGTTGTTGATGTTGCTGCATATTGGGCTGCATTGATTGTTCTTGCCTGCTTCTTGTGTTATTGGAACCTGTGCATCTCTGCTGTTCTTGTCTGTCTCTTGTGTTGTAAGATTCTGTTGATCTTGGGTGATCATTGCATCTTGCAGTTGCTTTTGCGAATGATGATGTTCTAGTGTCTTCACTATTCGACTGTTGTTGGTAGTCTGTATGTCCATGTTGCATTGTTTTTCTTCTTGTGCTCCATCTTGTCTCGGACTGTCTATTTCTTGTGTAACTGTGGTCTGCTGCACAATCTTGTCCATTATTACACAAGTGATTTCTTGAGTCTGTTGTTGTGAGGCATTCTGCATCATCTGTAGGCAATTGATAATGGTCTCTGCCATGATCTTCACGATGTTTTTCAGCTGGACCTTGGCAAAACTGTATATTTGTTGTGTTGATCTCGAAAGTAATTGCTTTTTGCTCTTTTGCATTTGCTGTATTTCTGCAGCACTTTTGTGTATTTTCTGATTTGGAATAATAGATTCGGGAAATTTGGCTCTGTGAGAGTGAGTGTGTGTTGTGGCTGTGCACGAGTGTTCCAGACGTTGGTGTTGGTGTATGTAGTGCTGGTCTGTGTGTTTATCCTGGCCCGAGCTGTCTGCACTTTTTCTTTCCGTGCAGAGCAGGTTGTGCTCCAGGCATGATGTTTGCTTCCATAATTTGGACATTTGGCTGTTGTGGTTTGTTTTGCCTTGTGCTTGGCTATACAGTCTTTGGTTGGATGCCTCAGACTGCGCACTCCGCATCTCTCCTGTCCGGTGCAGCGTGATTGATGGTGGCCATATTTCTGGCACCTGAAGCAGCCCAGGGGTTCCGGAACGTATGGTCTCTGTCGGTATATTCCCCAATTTCCAAGATTGAATGCTTCTGGCACATGTCCCATGATGGTCACTGGAACCTGACGTGTTGCTGCCTTGTCTACTTTTGTGTGGCATCGTTCCACATTCAGGATTTCCTTGTGTTCTAGTACTGGATCCAGGGGAAAATCGATTGGGTATCCTAAAGCATGACTCGTGTGCATCTTTCTGAAGGGTCCAGCTTTTCCAAGCATACAGGTTTCCCTTGCAGGACTGTTACTTTTTCTAAGTAATTTGCAGTCTGTTGGTCTTGTGGTGTCATTATTATTTCTCCTTTCAGGTTGACTGTGATGGAAAGTTTCAGCTCTGGTTGTTCCTTTTCCATCGCCGTTATTACTCCATATGCTGTAGGAAAGGGGTTTGTCTGCATTATCTTGAATTTTGAAAGATGTGCAGAGTCTGGCGATGTCTGGTGTGAGACTGGTGGTGTCCTCTCCTCTCTCATAATGTTGTCCTGTGGCTGGGCTGTGGAGAGAGGTACATTGTCTGACACTGGGGCTAAGGTATGCTGAACTGTGTAATTACTATATGAGTACTGGAACACTTGATGATATATTGGACTTGTACCCAAGATTAACCATGTAATGTATCAATTATACAATGCATGTATGTGATGTAACTATATAACCTGAGCTTGTAAAAGCACCTTCATCACCTTCAGTGATTAAGTGCTTAATTGCACACTAGTTTCTCTATCAGCTATCTCACCCTGTCAGAGTAAAAGAGACAAATGTCATGTGAATGCATGTGTGTGTATATATATGTATGTATATGTGTGTGTGTGTGTGTATGTATGTGTATAAAGTATATATGGAAGCTGATCAGAATTATATTTCACCTTTGTAAATGCACATTAATGACACTATGTAAAAGACACATTGAACACTTTATGTAGGGCATACGTAAATCTGTGTATCTATGTATTTACGTATGTAGGTTAGCTTAGCATTTTAAAAGCACCGAATCACCTTCTGTGGTTGATTGTTCAATAAACCCTTGAACTATATGTTTAACACATCTCTAACCCTGTCCATGGAGGACAGAAGAAAATGTATATATGCTGTTTAGCATTGTAAATATGTGGCCACGTCTGTGGTAGAGAAAAAAAAAAACTGGCTGGTGTGTGACTGGTGCTGTCCTCTCATGTCTCATACTGTCATCTTGTGGCTGGGTTGTGGACAGAGAAGCACTGTCTGACACTGGCTGGTGTGAGACTGATACTGTCCTCTCTAGGTCCATTATGTCTGCTATCATGCTGGTAGAAGCAATTGGTGAAGCCTCAATAACAGTTTTCTTCGGTGCCTGCTGCACATCGGTACACTGTCCCTCCTCGTCTGAAAACTGCCTCCATTGCCTCTTTCTCTTTGACTTCCACATGACTCGTCACATAGTGAGGACCGATTCACTGTCCTACCTAATGCCTGAGACACTCATAGGCCTGGAGAAATTCATTTCTCTCCAACGGAGATTGTAGAATGATTCCCCCAGGTGGAATCAGGGATACCTAACACCTAAATGAGCAAGTTTGGTCTACCTTTCCCTGTCAGGCTCAGTACACCTTCTAAGGTGCTCCTTTGTGGCAATGCCCACAGGATATTGCATCACCCTTCAAGGTAGGACTGTAAGTGACCCAGTCAGTGATACAGTCCTAAAAAAAAAAAAAAAAAAAAAAAAGGGGTCATGGGCGTCGATAGTGTGGCACGAGAGTTTGGGTTGCTGCGTACTGGGTTGCACAGAATGCCAGTCAGCTGGACAGCAGGTAATCAACAACGTTGTTTCACCATAATTGTAGATAAAATTGAAATTATTTCCTTCCAAACAAGTTATCGCCTGGGTCTTGGCGAATTGATGTATTCTTCCTCACGAAACCAGGTTGATTTGAGCTGATGGGTGCTTAGAATCGTAAGTTTTTCCGGGAAGAAATCCGTGTGCGGCCAGCTAGCAATGGCGCTGACAGCAAATCCACCCGAGTGTTGCATGCTAAAATTGCTTGAGCAGCCGAAAGGTTAAGGCTTGGCAGCCCAAGTTCATTAGCAGTGGGAAGCTACTGAGAGGCCCTCTCAGAAAATAAAATATAAACTAAAATATTACTTATAATATGAGAGATAAATGCCAATAACTAGACATCCATTGTATATATGTGAAATCTATATTAAAATATAATTAAAATAGCAAGGTGTACAAACTTTTATCAAACTTACCCATGTTGACAAGTCCACTATTGTTGTAGAGTGTGCCGAGGTGTGGTCCAGACAAGGAGAGGAATGTGTGAAGTTTTGGCAGGAAGGGCTTCATGTGTGGGTGTGATACAGCCCCTCGGATGATAATGTTTCCCAGGGAGTGACCCACAAATGAAATACGTTTAGGGTTGAGGTTGTATGCTTCAATATGGTATAAAATTTCTGATACTAAACGCTCAGTCAAAGTTTCAAAATTTGAGAATGTATCTCCCTGTGGAAAACAGCAACATGTAAATGAATATTGTATAAAATATTTGATGTATAAATTTAATTTAAAAAAAGATTACCACACAATACAATTTTGAAAATCCAGACAGTTAGTTAAAACCCTTATTCTAAATTTTAAAATGTTCCAAATTTTCAAATACTTTGCATTTGTTTTATGTTTGGCCAGTTCTCAGGAAAATGAACATTTTTTAGGTACATTTTGGATATCAGAAATAGATGTTCTCAGGGACATTTTACAGCCAAAGAAAGTATGAATGTTTACATACAAACAATTCCTAAAAACAAAATACAGAGGAACCTCGGGTGATGAACAGCCCCATCTACGAGCTTTTCACATGAGTGAGCCACTGACAGAAAATTTGTCTCGATTGACAAGCTTCCGCTTGATTAATGAGAAAACCAAGTGTTGCTTCCTAGTGTTCCCGCGCTGGTTCTTGCAAATTCTTGGACGCCTCTGACAACAGAGTACATTATAAAATTTCATATTGATGTTGGTGGGTGGTGTCAAAAGTCTGGTGATGTCAGTGGTGGGGGATGGTGTCAGCGAAGTCTGGTGGTGTCAGTGGTGGGGGATGGTGTCAGAAGTCTGGTGGTGTCAATGGTGGGGGGTGGTGTCAGAGAAGTCTGGTGGTAGGGGATGGTGTCAGAGAAGTCTGGTGGTATCAGTGGTGGGGGGATGGTGTCAGGGAAGTCAGGTGGTGTCAGTGGTGGAGGATGATGTCAGAGAAGTCTGGTGGTGGGAGATGGTGTCAGAAGTCTGGTGGTGTCAGTGGTGGGGAGTGGTGTCAGAGAAAAATGGTGGTGTCAGTGGTAGGTTATGGTGTCATAAGTCTTGTGGTATCAGTGGAGGGGAATGGTGTCAGAGAAGTCTGGTAATGGGAGATGATGTCAGAAGTCTGGTGGTGTCAGTGGTGGGGGATGGTGTCAGAGAAGTCTGGTGGAGGGAGATGTGTCAGAAGTCTGGTGGTGTCAGTGGTAGGGGATGGTGTCATAAGTCTTGTGGTATCAGTGGTGGGGGATGGTGTCAGAGAAGTCTGGTGGTGCCTACCAGGAACCATGAGCCAGAACCTGGTCCTCTCAGAGAGGCGCAAGGAGCAATAGCCTATGAGCACTTTACGTTTAACCACTGCACTGTGCAGAGTACCTTGTGGTGGTGGATCGAGGGTGCGCAGAGCGCTATGTGGCATTTTTTGGTATAGGGTGCGATTCACAACTCCCGCGGGTACATGGGGCTCACATCTTGTGTCTCAGAACTCCTGTTAACAGACCCCATCTTGAAAAAAAATCATGGGTAACATTCCTGGGTGTGAGAGCTTCAGTACTGAGTGAGCAACCAAGGCTAGCGCACCCAGCATGAAATAAAAGCACTGCTGTTCAGCTTGTGACCACAGCATCCCCTAAAAATGTCAAAATATATACAGTATGTAACTGATATTATTTAGCAATGATAGTATTTCAGAAGAGCTTGACTGTGATAAAAATGACCAGGATTCTGAAAATAGCAGGATTGTTGTGATAATTAGCACTGTGCATAGTATGGTGGGAGGAGTAATGCAGAAGGAGGGAGGGAGGGAGCATTGTCTGCTGACTCTGTGTGGCCACCTGTTATTGTCTGGATTCACCATACCAGCTTAGTGGTTCGCTATGATGAACACAAATGTAAATACTTATATATGTAAATATTAGGCACAATACCAGTCCCTACCCAAGGCCAAAAATGCTAGAACACTAGTCAGAGGAACAGAAGCCCAAAACAAGAAAATAATTATATATATATATATATATATATATATATATATATATATATATATTATTTTATTATATATATATATAAGGGCCCAAGCCCCAGCTGGTCTCAAAGGCGAGGCAAATGCCGAGCAGCAATAGCCTCTACGGGAATGGTTCAGGAACGCCCCAGGGAAGATAACCCTGTCACGCAGGGGCAGTACTCACAGGGCGCTTAGGGAAAGAAGCCCCTAAGTGTATGCAGCCCCGGTACTGACGAAGAAAACCTGGCGACCGCACAATACAAAAACACAGCAGTGAGCGCCACGAAGGCAAACACCGCCTAGGAAACTGGGGCCAGAGAGGTGTCTGTCCCGGTTGACATTAGCTTATGAACTGGTGCAAGGCAGCTGGCGCAGTGAGGTCCAGGCCCCCCCCTTTCCCTCTTGGGGACGGGAGGGCTGCACGGACAAGCGGCGGGTCAGTAAAGTATGATATTTGCTTGTTTGCTGGTTTCCTTGGGATTGTAGGGAGTTTCTACCTCTCTATTTGGCTTTTTGTTTTAGTTTCTTACCATGTGGGGTTTGTTTTGTTATGCCTACCTTTCTGGGTGCCTAACCCTGGTCGATGTCAGATAAGGAAAATCCCCAACCACTAGGGGGTTTTCCAGGGCCATTGCACCCTGAAACTTCAATGAAGGGGCCAGATTCTGGCACTGGTCCCTGGTAGGTCTGAACTTCATAGCTAATTTCCCGGTCTAATATAACATACATTAGCCCGATAAGCTCCAGGGAACCATAGGGGCTTCCCACAGAAAATGGCATCTGTTTACAAGAGCCCTAAAGAAGCTGATGTGAACCCCGTGTAGCCGTGGGACTTTTAAATCTTGCGTGGTACTCTAACACATCAATAGCTGTGATGCGAAGTTCCGTGACAGTTACTTACCACAGGTATTGATGTGTTGTGAAGTTTAAGGGTTAATAGCTTCACCATCCAAGGGTTAAGTAAATTCAACCCAATCAAAATGAGAGAAATAATTTTGTTTTTTATAAATGTTATGCACAGGGTGTGTGACGTCACTATGACCTCATCACACACACACACACACGATAATATAATTATGATAAAATCGATAGGGAAGATTTCCTGAGACCTGGAACTTTAAGAACAAGAGATCATAGATATAAACTAGCTAAACACAGATGCCGAAGAAATATAAGAAAATTCACTTTCGCAAATAGAGTGGTAGATGGTTGGAACAAGTTAAGTGAGAAGGTGGTGGAGGCCAAGACCGTCAGTAGTTTCAAAGCGTTATATGACAAAGAGTGCTGGGAAGACGGGACACCACGAGCGTAGCTCTCATCCTGTAACTACACTTAGGTAATTACACACACACACACACATGTGGAAACAGGCTAACATAGTTCCAGTCTACAAAAGTGGCAGCAGGGAAGACCTCCTCAATTATAGACCTGTATCACTAACAAGTGTAATAGTGAAAGTATTGGAAAAACTAATCAAAACTAAATGGGTAGAACACCTGGAGAGAAATGATATAATATCAGACAGACAGTATGGTTTTCGATCTGGAAGATCCTGTGTATCAAATTTACTCAGTTTCTATGATGGAGCCACAGAGATTTTATAGGAAAGAGATGGTTGGGTTGACTGCATCTATCTGGACCTAAAAAAGGCTTTCAACAGAGTTCCACATAAGAGGATGTTCTGGAAACTAGAAAATATTGGAGGGGGTGACAGGTAAGCTTCTAACATGGATGAAAGATTTTTCTGACTGATAGAAAAATGAGGGGAGTAATCAGAGACAATGTATTGGACCGGAGAAATGTCGCAAGTGGAGTACCACAGGGTTCAGGTTTTGCACCAGTGATGTTCATTGTCTACATAAATGATCTACCAGTTGGTATACAGAATTATATGAACATGTCTGCTGATGATGCTAAGATAATAGGAAGGATAAGAAATTTAGATGATTGTCATGCCCTTCAAGAAGACCTGGACAAAATAAGTATATGGAGCACCACTTGGCAAATGGAATTTAATGTTAATAAATGTCATGTTATGGAATGTGGAATAGGAGAACATAGACCCCACACAACCTATATAATATGTGAGAAATCTTTAAAGAATTCTGATAAAGAAAGAGATCTAGGGGTGGTTCTAGATAGAAAACTATCACCTGAGGACCACATAAAGAATATTGTGCAAGGAGCCTATGCTATGCTTTCTAACTTCAGAATTGCATTTAAATACATGGATGGCGATATACTAAAGAAATTATTCATGACTTTTGTTAGGCCAAAGCTAGAATATGCAGCGGTTGTGTGGTGCCCATATCTCAAGAAGCACATCAACAAACTGGAAAAGGTGCAAAGACATGCTACTAAGTGGCTCCCAGAACTGAAGGGCAAGAGCTACGAGGAGAGGTTAGAGGCATTAAATATGCCAAAACTAGAAGACAGAAGAAAAAGAGAAGATATGATGACTACGTACAAAATAGCAACAGGAATTGATAAAATCGATAGGGAAGATTTCCTGAGACCTGGAACTTCAAGAACAAGAGGTCATAGATTTAAACTAAATAAACAAAGATGCAGAAGAAATATAAGAAAATTCACTTTCGCAAACAGAGTGGTAGACGGTTGGAACAAGTTAAGTGAGAAGGTGGTGGAGGCCAAAACTGTCAGTAGCTTCAAAGCGTTATATGACAAAGAGTGCTGGGAAGACGGGGCACCACGAGCGTAGCTCTCATGCTGTAACTACACTTAGGTAGTTACATTAATTTTGGAACAGGTTTTGAATCTTACTATATAATACCGTACAATATTAAGTTATTGTTTATCAACATTGTTATTTCTTATTGGCATTAATTGCACCCCCGTGTGCTGACTGTTGTCTAGTTGTGTGGTATGCTGGCCTTCAGCAGTTCCAGCTATATATCTTGGGTAGCATGACTGTGTTTTCATGTATGCATTTATTTCATTAAGTATTATGATAATTTTAATTTCAACTTTGAATTGTTACATTTGCTTTTGTATTATTTCAGATACGTAGTGAAATGAGTCAAGTAAAGGTTGGCTATAGCATTTACTATATGATTGGATAATATTAATTATGCAGGATCAGTCAAGGTTTTCTGAGCAAATTAGAAACTTCAGGTCCCTATTCTGAAATTTTGAATGTTGCATCAGTAGTTTCTAGTTTTCTAGTTTGCATCCTTCTAGTTTTTTTAAGGTTATCATTGTAGCAAAGTCTGGATTTTCAACGTTGCACTACATATGAATTCATCCATGGAAAATATAAGTGCATCAAGAAGCTAATTCAAACAAGAAAATCCTACAGCACAGAAAATACCATTCAATACACTAAACTTACTTGATTTCGCTCTGACATTAGAAAATCAAGATTAGCTCCTGGCAAGCCAATCTCTAGATAGGTTTTAATTAGCCTGAGGTCAGCAGAGTTGCCATCAAGGCCATGAACACAGACAATGAGGTGGAGACCATCTGGCGACAGCACTCGGCAGTCATCGCTCACATGGAAGTATGGAACAGTTGATGCCAGACCTGAGAAATCACTGCAGAGAAAGCAAAGGTGGTATTACAAATCTGTTCAAAAAACAAAGTTTTTAAGAATATGTGTCTAGTCCATTACAAATAAACCAAAGTACTATTACCCTCCTGCATGGGTGGTTCAAATAACTCAAGAGGGTAAAACAAGGTTATGCTCTAATCATGGATGAATTCACAGTCACAATACTGGAAATAGAGGAAGAATTAGCTATCAAAATATTTCACTGAATTTGTGTGAGTAGCTAATTGATGTTCAGAGTCTGGTCCAACTTAACAATGCAAGTAGAAATGCTACACAAATTACTGGTCCTAAATTGTAGATAAGCTTCCAAAATGCATTAACCCTTATACTCTGTAGCTATTAAAGTACTACAGTGAGGTATGCATGACCACAAATAGTTAACAAATCAAATGGAAAAAATTGCATACAGCAATTAAGCAAAGGAGGAAATCACAAATAGTGATTGGAGCTGTGTAAGTATTAACTGTTGTACTATATTTAATTTAAAAGAGCATCAAAGAAGTACAGTACCTAATTAACATTTTGTAGTCTGAGCAATGTATCTACCACTCTACACAGTATATTTGCCAACTGAGTTTTCATCCTAAAATAACTAAATCATGGTGCTGTTACTTTACCAATCTTTTATAATTACAGTACTCAAATAGTGTATGTACTGTAACAATTCTCACTTATTAAGCCAGCATTCACCATAAAAAAAAAAATCAGTGTGATGAAATGACCTTTTCTAGGTGAGTATAAGTGGCTTTCTGAAGCTATATTGTTGAGATAGCTTCCCATTGCATACTAAGTCACATGTCACTGGAATCCTGTTGGCCTACTAGGAACAAGAGCCATAACTTGACCCACCTCAAAGAGGCACAGAGAGAAGAGAATTCTTACGGTCACCCTCACTAGGAAAGCAAGAAGACAGTAGGCGAGACTATACAGGCAACTGCCCAGTTCATGAAAATGAAACACCAAAACAGCCAACAGATACTGCAAAAGATTCTCTCAAAATGAAATGGGTCACCCAAAACAGGGTACAAAATACCTATAATGTGCAGAGCCAGTAACGTGTGGCAATCCCAGGGATTCTTAGTTTTAACCCTTATGTTGCTCAATACTCACATAGGTGATGGGAGTAACCTGCACCGCAATGCGCTTATCATAATATAGTCGATTGAGGGTCCCGCGCCTACACGGGGCATTTAGGTTTCCTCAGGGTTCTTGTAAACAGACACCATTTTTAAAAATAATCGTGGGCAACATTCTCGGTGTGGGACCCATAGTACTGTCTGAGCAACCAAGGCTAGTGCACGCAGCATGAGCTAACAGCACTGCTGTTCTGCTTATGACCACAGTATCGCCTAAAAATGTCCAAATATATATATGTAACTGCTATTACTTAGCAATGATAGTATTATAGAAGACCCCTGACTGTGATAAAAATGACCAGATTTCTGATAATAGCAGGATTGTGGTGATGATTAGCACTGTGCATAGTATGGCAGGAGGAGTAATCTTGGCGAGGGAGGGAGGTAGCATCGTCTGCTGACTCTGTGTGGCCACATTTTAATGTCTGGACTCACCATACCAACGTAGTAGTTTGCTATGGTGAACACAAATGTAGATACTTACATATAACATGTGTATTAGTGTAATAACAGCAAAAGGAGTATGTTGGGAGGAGCCATTTTGGTGAGGGACGTGGTGTCATCTGCATGACTTGTCATGCTGTGTAGGGTGGCCACTATGTACTTTGGGCACTATACCAGCTTAGTTGTACAGTTATGGTGAATAAAACATGTAGATACTTATATATAATGTGTGTATATAGTGAAGTAACACCAAAAGCAGTATGGTTGGAGGAGGAATGTTAGTGTGTCTGGTCTTGAATGGGTGAGGGAGGAAGGGAGCATCAGCTGACTCTGTGTGGCGACCTCTGTTATTGTCTGAATTCATCATACCAGCTTAGTTGTATAGTTATAGGAACAAAACATGTAGATACTTATATATATAACATCTGTATATAGTGAATAAAAGCAAAAACAGCATGGTGGCAGGAGGAATGTTGGCAAGTGAGGTGTTGGTGAGGGAGGGAAGGAGGGGGCTTTTGTGGCTAGTGTGTGGCGGCCACTCATTGTTGTTTTGACTCACCATACCAACTTATTGGTTTGTTATGGTGAACAAAACATGCAGATACTTATATATAACCTGTGTATATAGTGTAATAACAGCAAAACTATTTGTTTATTGTTTTATGAACATAATAATTGAATCGTTAATATGCACACCATACTTTTGAGTATAACGATGATTCACACATTTTATTATATAAATATATCACACTACACACTATTGAATAATAATACTCTACTGCAAAAAAAATAAGAAAAAATCAATCAGACATTGAAATAATTAGGTAATATCATCTTTATGGCAACTCCCACCTGACAGCTTGGGTGGAGCTGACCGCCTCCGACGCTTGCTCTGTCAATGCTTACATTTTAGCAGACTTCCTCGCCCTATTGCGGCCAAAATATGTCATTTATGATTTCAGGGATTTGTGGTCAGGGAACACAAATGAACACTTTTATAAGACAATTTTTTTTTTTTAATTTTTATATTTCTAGTGCACAGCGATGTTGACGGCTATTAATAGCAGAGTAGCGTAAGGGTTAAGGCAAGTGAGCTGGAGCTGATGAACCATGAATTGATGTACCTAATAGGGGTGGTGGGAAAGGGGAGTCATGGAGCCACCTTGGCTCACCCAGAGAGGATCATTTCATTACATTCAATGATGGTTTTCTGGGGGAAGGCTCTTGATGCCCTCTCCTTAAGCTAACAATGAAGAACGAGGAAAACATAGACCTTAACTGCTGATATCTGCCATGTATAAACTTAAAGAAAATTGTAGTCTTCTATTTATTTAGTTAAAACTACCTCTGCTGTACTGTTGCAATTCCTGCAATTCCATCCATCATGTAATTATTATCATTCTTTATTTCCCCTGCATAGCAGTGGAGCTGCCTCTTCCACTTACCTTCCACGTTATCACACTGGAAGTCCACCTCTATGTCAGCCAAGACCAGTCTTACGATGGATGCTCTACCTGCCACACGCTCCGCCACCCAGTGACTGGTATGGCTTGCTGGCAGGCAGAGTGCCTCCACAAACTAGCAGTTAGCCACTTCTACCAAGCAGTTTGCTGCCTCTATCCAGCTGTTGTGCAGCCACAAACTAACAGTTACCGCCAGCTGTTTGTTACTACCCTTGTTGACACAAGACGCAACGTCATCACCAGTAGCGGTATAAATAGGGCCCCTGCACCCATAGAAGCCAGTCTCTATCTGGTGCTCTTGGGGTCATCACTGCTTCTTTCACCCGCTGTCTGCTACCAGCCTACGACGTGTGTTGGATGCTGTAGGGTATGGTGGATAGCTTCAGCTCACCAGTATAATATTGTATTGTATTCATATTAATATTGTATTGTATTCATATTGTTTTCATTTGCTTGCATTGTTTGTTCTGTTATAATAGCCAAGTGTTTGCAGGACCTGTTTTCTGTTATTTATTATTATAGTAAAGTTCATTATTTGTTCATCTGTTTCTTATTTCATCCTGCCACTTACGATACAAAGATGCGAGAAACAACTACACGGCAGTGAGGAGAGAGGCAGAAAGAAATTTTGAAAAAGGGATTGCGGACAAATGTAAAACAGAACCAGGTCTATTCTATAAATTCATAAACAACAAATTGCAGGTAAAGGATAATATTCAGAGGTTGAAAATGGGAAATAGATTCACGGAAGATGAAAAGGAAATGTGTGAAACACTAAACGAAAAGTTCCAAAGTGTGTTTGTACAAAATGAAATCTTTAGGGAACCAGATACAATAAGAATTCCAGAGAACAACATAGAACACATAGAGGTGTCTAGAGACGAAGTGGAAAAAATGCTCAAAGAGCTCGGTAAGAACAAAGCAGCTGGCCCAGATGGCGTTTCACCATGGGTTCTGAGAGAATGTGCATCTGAGCTCAGCATTCCACTTCACCTGATCTTTCAGGCATCCCTGTGTACAGGAATCGTAGCAGACGGGTGGAAACAGGCTAACATAGTTCCAATCTACAAAAGTGGCAGCAGGGAAGACCCCCTCAATTATAGACCTGTATCATTGACAAGTGTAATAGTGAAAGTATTGGAAAAACTAATCAAAACTAAATGGGTAGAACACCTAGAGAGAAATGATATAATATCAGACAGACAGTATGGTTTTCGATCTGGAAGATCCTGTGTATCGAATTTACTAAGTTTCTATGATCGAGCCACAGAGATATTACAGGAAAGAGATGGTTGGGTTGACTGCATCTATCTGGACCTAAAAAAGGCTTTCGACAGAGTTCCACATAAGAGGTTGTTCTGGAAACTGGAAAATATTGGAGGGGTGACAGGTAAGCTTCTATCATGGATGAAAAATTTTCTGACTGATAGAAAAATGAGGGCAGTAATCAGAGGCAATGTATCAGAATGGAGAAATGTCACAAGTGGAGTACCACAGGGTTCAGTTCTTGCACCAGTGATGTTTATTGTGTACATAAATGATCTACCAGTTGGTATACAGAATTATATGAACATGTTTGCTGATGATGCTAAGATAATAGGAAGGATAAGAAATTTAGATGACTGTCATGCCCTTCAAGAAGACCTGGACAAAATAAGTATATGGAGCACCACTTGGCAAATGGAATTTAATGTTAATAAATGTCATGTTATGGAATGTGGAATAGGAGAACATAGACCCCACACAACCTATATATTATGTGAGAAATCATTAAAGAATTCTGATAAAGAAAGAGATCTAGGAGTGGTTCTAGATAGAAAACTATCACCTGAGGACCACATAAAGAATATTGTGCAAGGAGCCTATGCTATGCTTTCTAACTTCAGAATTGCATTTAAATACATGGATGGCGATATACTAAAGAAATTGTTCATGACTTT